TTAAAGTGGCAGACGACAAAACAGCAATTTGCACTTATAATAAACAGAATGTTATCATCTGCCAATGTGGATGCTAATTATCTTTATAGATAAGTCCTCATCACAACGATAACAATAACGATGCAGAGGAACAATATTGTTGGAATCACTTTCAGAACTATTTTTTTCCAGCTAACGAATAACAAAAACTTTGACAGCCAATCAGAATCTAACTGAAAGAGTGTGAGCACTTAAAGCAACAGATGACAAAACAACAGTATGCGCTTATAATAAATAAAAATATATTGCCCACTGGCATGGACACTAATGTAATTTTCTTTGCTAATATACAGTGGTTATCGTTATAGTACTTAAAGTGAAGTAACATGGAGAAACATGAGATTATTGCCATCTTTTATGAACACAAACATCGGGATTCTTCATCAATATCAATTGAAGACAGTTTTCTGTCATGCGGTTAGTGTGCTCTCCTCACTAGAGGACATTAAATGTCACATGTGAAAAAAAATGGAGTCTTTTCTGGACTCTTGATTGGTCAGCACAAAAGTTGCTAACAGAAGAAGGCCTGAGCTCACAGGGTCTGAGTTTAGATCTGCTAGCATAAGAAAATGCCAATCCTCATTATCACGCATGTGAAAGCTGACACGGCAGGACAGCAGCAGGCCAAATTTACTGTAATGAGTGCGTTATGTCAGATGATGCTTACATACATGTGTGATAGATCGCCAGCTACCGCTTACTGATTTATTTGTATATAAATATGCTGACACTGGAACAGCCGTATTGCAAAAATACTCAGACATACCCTTTACAGAAATTCATAGTCATTCATAATCATAGTTTCTACCCTAGTTTTACTATTCAGGGCCTGAATTTTGTTTTAATTCACATTTTCTATGACAGGAGTACATTAATTTATTACATCAGTACATTAATGATTTTATAGCTGAATAATAACTGTACCACCTTTTTAACCTAAATAATGAGCAGCTTGAACAAGCGAATAGTATGATGAAGTATCTGTATTTGCCTCAACAACTAACCTAGCAACACCCTAGCAACCCCCTAGGAACTGCTCAGATACACGAGCAACTACCCAGAACACCCTAGCAACCACAAAACAAGTCTTGAGACAACCCAGAATGCCTTAGCAACTGCAAATCAACACTAGCAATGTCCTCACAACTACCCAGACACCCTAGAAACCCCCTAGAAACAACCCAGACATCCTAGCAACCCCCTAGAAACAACCCAGACACCCTAGCAACCTTCTCGAAACAATGCAGATACCCTAGCAACCCCCTAGAAACAACCCAGACACCCTAGCAACCCTCTAGAAACAACGCAGATACCCTAGCAACCCCCTAGAAACAATCCAGACACCCAAGCAATCCCCTAGAAACAACATAGGCCCCCAAGAAACAACGCTGACATTCTAGGAACCCCCTAGAAACAACACAGACACCCTAGCAACCCCTAACAGGCCCCCTAGAAACAACACAGACATCCTAGCAACCCCCTAGAAACAACGCAGACACCCTAGAAACCCATAGAAACAACTCGGACACCCTAGCAACCCTCTAGAAACAATGCAGACACCCTAGCAACCCCTACAACCCCCCTAGAATCAACACAAACACCATAGCAACCCCTAGATAAAACCCAGAAGAAGAAAACCCAGATAGAACCCTAGAAACCCCCTAGAAACAACACAGGCTCCCTAGAAACAACCCAGACATCCTATAAACAACCCAGACATCCTAGCAACCCCCTAGAAACAATCCAGACATATATATATATATATATATATAAATTAGTGCTGTCAAACGATTAATCACGATTAATCGCATCCAAAATAAAAGTTTTTATTTACATTATATATGCATGTGCACTGTGTACATTTATTATGTATTTATAAATACACACACATACAGTATGTTTTGAAAATATTTACGTTTATACATTTATATATTCATATTTATATATTTTATATTGTATATAAATATATTTCATATATAAACATAACATAATTTTCATGTGTTTGTATTTATATATACATAATAAATATACACAATATGCACACATATAGTATGTAAACAAAACTTTTATTTTGGATGCGAATAATCGCGATTAATCGTTTGACAGCACTAATATAAATACATATATATATATTTTTTTTTATAAATAGTAATTAAATAAATGTAACTACTATTTTAAATGTACTCATAGTTACACTATTTACAAACTCATAGTTAATACTCACAAACAACGTTACACGTCATCTGCAGTTTAGTTCCTGCTGTGTTAACGTGAACGCGGTGTTAACTGAAGGACTGTTTGTTGGTCAGTTTCTCTTGTGGAGGATGAAATAAAGGCTGACAGGTCGACTGCACCCGCTGTGGTCCATCACACCACCGCAGCAGCTCATCGCAGGAGTTAGTTGCACATTACTGCTGCAGAGCCAAATCTAGAGCCACAAGATGTCCGTCTCTGTCTCATTTCTCATTAGAACGCTTACAGGTTCCTCCTAAACACGCATCCTGGCTTGTCAAGTGTGATTCATCCTCGGTTGGGTAGAAAAACAACATGCTAACCTTTCATCGTGACCTATTCATGTGGTGTTTGCTACAAGCCAAGAATTTCAATGCTGAGCTGTAAATTACGCTTTTGTCGGTAGTTATTAAATGCAAATGCATTGAAACATTTCTTTAGAATATGTTTATGTACAGTCAGACTGCTAAATTGACTATAAAATCACTGTATCATGGCTTAAGTAAATGTTTTGATTTAATGTATTCATGCAGACAGGTAAACAGCCCATCCTTACATTACAGTAAATTTACGCTTTAATATTATGCATAAAATTCCTCCTACCAGACAGATTATCAATGAAATGAGCCCTGAGAAATAAACCTGTGTCTCTGACTACATTACAGTCTTCAAACAGGAACAAACTACATGGAGAACCAATCAGAAACACTAGACGGCTGTCAATCATTGTGCACTCTCAGGCTTGCTGGCATTGGATTGGCTGGCATGTCTTTGGAGGGCGGGGTTTAAAAAAAGTTAGTAAAATGGCTGAACTTGCCACATGAACAGGAGAACTTTTATAACTTAAAAAAAACAAAAAACTTTTTTATTGTTTATAAAAGCATTTGTTTTGTTTTAAAGAGTCCATAAACAAGAATACAGCTCAACGGAGTGATCTGAAGGGTTTATAATGAACTTGTATGTGATCTTGTGAACATATATGTGACCCTGCAGCACAAAAGCAGTGTTGAGTCGCTGGGGGATATTTGTAGCAATAACCAACAATACATTGTATGGGTCACAATTATCCACTTTTCTTTTATGCCAAAAATCATTAGGATATTAAGTAAAGATCATGTTCCATGAAGATACTTTGTAAATTTCCTACTGTAAATATATCAAAACTTAATGTTTGATTAGTAATATGCATCACTAAGAACTTCATTTGAACAACTTTAAAGATGATTTTCTCAATATTTTGATTTTTTTGCACCCTCAGATTCCAGATTTTTAAATAGTTGTATCTCGGCTAAATATTGTCCTATCCTAACAAACCATACATCAATGGAAAGCTTATTTATCCAACTGACCTTATGACTGGTTTGGTCCTGGTATGGTCCAGGGTCACATATGGTCAGTTCAAGCACCCTGCAAAGCCAAATGTGGTTTTTGTGAAGAAAATGAAGCTTTGTTTGTAAGAATGCATGGGTAATTTGTTCTCCGCTGGTTGTTTTTGCGCTGACAGAGCTGGAGGAGGCGCAGCAGAAGTGTCACCCGTGCTGGTACGTGTTTGCACACAAGTACCTGGTGTGGACGTGTGGCCCCAGCTGGCTGAAGGTGAAGGAGTGGGTGAAGTTCATGGTGAATGATCCGTTCCTGGATCTGGCCATCACTATCTGCATCGTTCTCAACACGCTCTTCATGGCTCTGGAGCACTATCCCATGACAGACGAGTTCAACCGCATGCTGTCTGTGGGGAACCTGGTGAGCATATATTATTATGTTTTGCTATATTTATTGATATTGATATATTGAAATTAGTGGTGTCAAAATGAATGCGTTAACGCAGGTGATTAATTTTTTCAGTTTAACACGTAAAAAATATTTAACGCAATTAACGCAGGGGCGGGGCTAGGGTGAGCCACCCCACTCACGACTGCTGCTTCTGTCACTTTTTCTCTTGACAAGAAGTGTATTTATTCAGTCGCAGAACGACTGAGAAC